GAGAGCGCGCACAGCCCAGGGGTGCTGGAGGTCGCGCGCGTTGGCAAGTTGGCCACGGCGAGGGGCGTGGCCGTGGACAGCTGGAGGAGGGCCATCGGACCCTCGTACATACCTGCTTAAGCTGCCTTGTGCTGGTCCAGATCCAGTGCCCACCCACCTCCGTGCTTGGCATCTGCCCAGCCCTGCCCTCCCCATCCTCAAGCCAACAGAGGTGTGCTTCCCTGCCTACAGTTTGCACCCAGATGGGGATTGCGCTTAGCTCGCCTGCGCTGCACACCTTGGGCCTTCTGCCAGGGTCCTTCGTGTCTCCCATGCCTTCTGGAGTGCCCAAAACCTCTAACTTTGCAGAATGCTTCTGTGTGTTTGTTCACAATGTCCTCTACCCCGACCTTGGCGAGATCTCAGACCACACTAAGAGATAGGGACCCTGAGGCTGAGGAGGTGATGATAAACAAACACCCGGGGTCATGCAGGGTGACCTGTCCCACATTCACATCCGTGGCCTTAGTGGAACAGGTGGGGTGGGACTGGCTTCTGCCAACACAGTCAGATTATAGAGTGGAATTCCTTGGCTCTGTGGCACACTCTGATCACGTGACTCAGAAATCTTCCTAGTTTTCTTTTGCTTTTAAGTCTGTAGATAATTGTGTTGATAGCGATGTCAGGGAGCACGCCAGGCCCACCCACCTTGGGCACTAGGCACCACCCTATCTGCTGGGGCAGATGAAATGGTTAGTGAGTGCCAGGGATCTGACTGGAGCAGAGACTTTGTTCCAGAGAAGGGCTCCTTCCTCCCTCCTCTTACCCCTCCTTTCACTACCAGTCTCTGGTTTTTATTTTTGAGATAGGGTCTCCTGTAGCCTAGGCTGGTTTTGAACTCCTAATCCTCATGCCTCTACCTCCCTGGCACTGGGATTACAAATAAATGCTGCCTAGCACAAAACAGATTATTTCTAAGGTTGGGGAATTGGGGTGGAGTTGGGGGTTCAAGAAACACAAAGACATTTTAATGCTTCTGTGACTGGGGTTTTTCCTTTTCTTTCATTTGTTTCTTTAAAGATTCATTTATTTCACTTTATGTATATGAGTGTTTTGCCTGCATGTATGTGTAAGCACACCACTTGGTTGTCTGGTATTCAAGGAGTACCAAAAGAAAGGCATGGGATCCTCCCGAACTGGAGTACCAGGTGGTTGTGAGCCACCATGTGGTGCTGGAAACTGAACCCAGTTCCTCTGCAAGAGCAACAAATGCAGTTAGTTGCTGAACCATCTCTCTAGCTCCCACTCCCTTTCTTTCTTGGGTCTCACTGTGTGACACCTCTTCTGGGGGGATTTGTTATATAAACTAGGCTGGCCTCAGATCCATTTGCCTGTTTTCATAGTGCT